AGTTCCAACAAACTTTTTTCCATTACTTTGTGATACATATGTTTGAACATGAAACTCAGATCCTGTGAAAGATAGTTTACATTTTTTGTTTGGTCTTGCAAAAAAACACAATGTATAGAGTGCTATTTCTAATTCTGGAGTTGTCCCTACGAATATAGTTGACATCTTACGTTTCCTAATATACGTAAAATATGTTTCTAAGATAACAGCCTTCTGAAAATATTTGAAATATAATTTAATGACTGTATCTTGTATTCACATCTCTATTTACCTCATCAAATTCCTTATTACAAGAAAATCCATAATAATTAATATTATTTATCGATTCTCCATATGAAAAATAAATCCAATTATGAAGTCCTACAACGCCTTTACGCGGTTTTCTTTCACCTATAAAAACATGTTCAAATCCAGAGCTACCATTTATTCCCTTACTTCGAGAATACAAGTGAAACCAGAGTTCTTTCAAAATATTTTTATACACTCGTGTATCACTTTGAAAAAAACCTTTGACTGATAAAGAATACATAGCATCCAACATTACATCTGTTTTCAACAGATTATCAATAAACTCGTTCTCTTCTATGTCTTTCTCTTTTGTTATAATCTCTGGTCGATAGACATCTAATTCATAGTTATTAAACAACTTTATTAGAGACTTAGTTGTTAATCTTACAGTAATATTGGACGATATATTCAACAATCTACAAATTAAAATCTGTTTAAGTTAATTATTAGGATAGACAATAATAAATTTAAAAATTACCTTTCAGGAGCCATATCCGAAAAATTTTTAAAACTTGCTTGCCCTTGATAATTTATATGCACATAATTGAGCAATCCGTGGGACATACTAAATAATCGTTCTGATATCGTCTTTAATTCATTATCGTTTATGAAAGGCACATTAAAAATGTTATTGGCTACTGTAAAATAAAGGAATTCAAAATCGATATTTAATCTTTTATTTAAGTATTTTCATTTTTTTGTTATAATTACCCCCAATTTGATGAGTTGTAAGAGAAAATACTATTACAACGTGTACAATAACTAAAGTATGAAGAGACATTACAGTACTATTATTTAACATTATTATAACATGAAATGAAATATGTTTGCTTTCATTATCAAAAGAGCAGTAGGTTATGTCTAATGTTTCGTATTTGTTATATTAAACAATTTTTCACTTATTACAACAGTATATCTATAAGTTACAGTTGTACATATGAAAAAACGGCCAAACAAGCGGAGATCATAATTCTAACTTGGAAAATATTATAGACATGTAGGTTACTTATTCGTTACGGAAAATTGTACAATATACAAATTTTAGACAAAGGGCCTAGCTGGATAAGGGGGTCAAATGTGCCCTTGAGCCGAATGAAG